ACTATTGCAGAAGGTGTGGAAGGAAGGGAAGGTACCTTCCCATTGACTGGATGAAGGGCTACCTTGTCAAACTCCCAAATAAGGGAAACTTCAGTGTTTGCAAGAACTGGCACGGAATCTTTCTCCTGTCCACCCAAAGCAAGCGAAATATGAAGCCGTATCATCCTGGAGAGATTAAAGGATGAACTGCATTCAAAACTACCACCGGAACAGGCTGGCTGGCTGGCTAGCTGGTTGGATTCAGGAAGCACAAATCATGTGTGGACCAAATTGTAACGCTTCGCATCATCATAGAACAGAGTATAGAATGGCAGTCGATTCTCTACCTCAACTTCATCGACTTTGAAAAGGCTTTCGACAGCGTCGACCGAGGGGAAATTTAGAAGCTGCTTCAATACTACGGAATACCGCAAACCTTTGCGTTCTCACTCAGCAACTATATGAAGACGCCACATTCCAAGTAATCCATAATGGGAAGCTCAGTGACGCTTTTGAAGTGAAGACAGTAGTAATAGAAGGCTACCTACTATCACCGATGATATTCCTGATTGTGGTCGACTGGATCATGCAACAAACAGTGAGGAGCGAGAGGAGGGTGATGCGCGGGACCGCGGAAAAGAACCTGGAATACTTTGATTTCTCCGATGACTTGTGTCTGATGTCGCACAAACTGTAAGATGTACAGGCGAAAACTAACAAGGTGCCAGAGAGGCAGGGCAGCGAAGACGGGACTTCAAGTGAATGTGGAGAAGACAGGGGTGATGAAGATACCCAACCAACAACCATAACAAGCTCCAATCACGATCAACGGGAGAAATTTAAAGGAAGTAGCTTCCTTCACCTATCTAGGTAGCACTGTTTCAACTATAGGCGGCACAGACGAAGACGGGAAAGTCAGGATCGGAAAAGCAAGACAGGCGTTAATTAGCCTGAAACCAGTGTGGAGATCTTCTGCACTCATCATGTGGAACAAGATCCGGATTTTCAACACCAACATCAAGTCAGTGCTTCTTGTATGGCTCAGGGACTCGTCGCGTTACGAAAGGCATTTCTAACAAACTACGGACATTCATCAACAACTGCCTATGCTCGTTAATGAAGATCAGATGACCAGAATGATAAGAATAAGCAACAAGGAACTCTGTCTTATGACGAACCAACTAAGCAGGAAGCTATCGCTCAACAAATATGCATTGGAAGGAAGTAGAGATGGATTAGGCATACACTGAGAAGACCGATTGGCGACATCACGCTCCAGGCTAGGCCAGGTCGTAGAGTGGAACCCAGATGGAAAGCGACGAGTTGGGCGTCCCAGCTGAGGGCGACATGGAGGAGATCGTGTGAGGAGGAAATGAGGGCTTCTGGGCTGTCGTGGAGCCAGGTTCAAAAGATTTCAGAGAACAGAGCGCATTGGAGAAGTGCTACTGAAGCCCTATGTTCCACTAGGAACCCAAGGGACAAATAATAATAATAATAACAATAATAATAGGGTGGTCTTTAAAATCACTTATACATATGACCCGTAACACATGCAAGAAAGGTGAATCAACACAACTGTTAACCATATGGAAGATACTATTAAACAAACAGACTAAGGAACGACGAGTAAAGAATACGTGCATCATGCCTACGTGTAAATATGTGAAAAAAATATTGCTAAAATATTCTAACTGTTGTTGTAATCACTGACAGTAACTTTGATCGAAATATTACCAAAATAAAATCTTATCATTGTTGATAAACTTTGCATTTAAAATTTACCTACAATACATTAATCCATTCTACAATGCATACACTTTTCAGTGATACTTAATTACTTACTTTCACTACTTTAACTAGTAATCATATTATTCTAGACAACATTTATGATACAGTATGTAATTCTCTATGCATTCAATACTTCAGTAGACCTACTCCCTGTACAATGCTTTTAAAAGAAATAATCATTACATATGAAAAGTGTTATTAATAACAATATGAAACAGGCAACTAATATTATATTAACGTCAGAGATGCAATGGGCGAGGAAGTTGAGCGTAGTTTTGGTGGTAGTAGTTCACTTAACCTGTGCACAAATATGCACTTCGATATAGATATCCTAGGTATAGTAATGAATGGTATTTTTGTGCATTCGTGTATCACTTTCCATCAGGCGTAACATTTTTTTCTTTTTTTCATTGTCAGCTTGAAAAACAACAGTTTCCAAACACTTTAAAAATGTACGAGAGTGAATTTTAAGTTTAGAAGACATATCTAAAAGATTAAAAGAAACTGAAAGCGAAAGAGTTTGATGAAATATATACGGTGGAAAAATGTTTTGGTAGCCTACATTTTTAGCAGGCTGGCAGCATACATACTAGCCGTATATGTCTTCAAACAATGTCGAAAACTGATTTTAGTTAAGCATTCACCATGGACTGACATCAGTTAGAGGAGCATTGGAAACCTCGTAGCACCTCGGATAGCCACTATGTACTAGCATGGGTTCCATAACCCTACTTCGCCAGGAATCGAACCCAGGACCTTCAGATTCCGTGGTCAGAAGGTTACCACTGAGCTACTAGATTGGAGTCCAGTGGTCAGTTATTTCCTACTTCCATCAGATCATGATATAGCACGACCAACGTCAAATGTAGTCGTGACCAGTGGAGTTAACCAAGTAGAACATAAGAACAGTTACTCAACGGTGATATTGAACGTAGATAGCACTATATCGTGAATTTACAGAAGTAGGAAATGTGGACCATTGGATTTCGACTCACTGGCTCAATGTTAACGTGCTGCTCGTGGAAGCCGAAGGTCCTGATTTTGATCTCTGTTGGGGAGGGGCCACGATACGCACTGATGAGGAGTCCCATAATAAGACACGGCAGATGTCCAGTGCTCCCAAATTTTCAATGTTCTTCCAACTGATGTCAGTCCATGGTGAATTCCAATCTACAATCAATTCATTAACCTCCACAAAACCTCCCGATGGATTAGCGAAAATTGTCTGAAAGTATAATAAATTACTGTCACCGAGTTGGAAAGGAATGCCTGACATGAAAAAAATAATTCCTGAAGAAATTGTGAAGTTACTTGTTATTGAAACACAATGCTGAGTGAAATGTGTGGTTTCCAACGGAAACTCGATTAATACAACGGTTGATCAATTGGAAACTACTCACCAGTGAGAAATGCTAACATAGACGTTGAGATTTGTAAGTTGTTTGCAAATTGTTCATTCTACCTTTGGTCGAACTGAAAGTTCTTCTTAGTCCAGTCATAGTGAAACTGTAGTTAAGTTCTCATCTTCTTCAGGATAACTTTTCTTTTTAACACCATTAATTTAAGAAGTCTTTTGGTTGCTGCAACTTACTTAATGACTGAACGTTTGGTAAGCGCTTTAAGTCACTTTTTTATATAGCTCCAGTTGCCACTTTTACGTATATCTTTACCAAAGACTTTATGGAGCCTTCAGACTTTATCAGTAATGGTCACTCAGTTTTTCCGTAAGTAGAAAAGGAGGTAATAGAACTGAAGGTGCATTTCGCAAAGTCAACAGTAACGTCAAACAATATATACAAATTACAAGGTTTTTATATATTACAATGGCGCAGACTATTTCCAGGCCTACTAGACTTAAATTCTAATGATTTTTTATCTTTTCAATCAACGTGATACTTACACGTCGGTTCACGTGTTGTTTCCCGAAATTTTGAGGGAAAACGATTACTTGAAAAAGTTTTTAGACAGGTGCAGCTACTTATAAGGATTCCGTCAATCTTTTTGCACACTATACAACCTTCCCCTTGAAATAGAGATTGATAGTATAACAATGTCTTTTGATTGACTGGTAACGCTCTGCTGAGTCGTGACAAATTATTTCACGATTATCTTTGCTGTGGCGTAGTCTAAAGTAACCTAATTGGGTCCGGAAATGAAGGAAGTGCTTTGCTGACACTTTGGAGAAAGGTATTTGTTTACTTATTCCCGATGTAGTTGGTCAGAATGATGGGATACTACGCGATGGAATGAATCCCCATAGTTAACACTGCAGTATATCACACCGATGAATTGCTTCTGACCACCCTATACACGATGAACGACCTGTGAATTTGAGTGGATTCGGAGATTTCTATTTGCCTGCTGGTCGGTGGATTCGATGTCTGAAATAGAGCTAGCTTGCAGATGATCCTGGTGTCCATTTTCTCATATAGGCATAAATTATCTTTGATAAAGTAATCCAACATTATACAACGCAACCATGTCAATTTATGGGTGTGCAGGAGCACTAAACCCCCCTGAGTATATGTGTAGTTGTTGACGTGGATGCTTGTGCTTGTAGATTTCTTGTGGACATTCATTGTAAGTTGTGACTATAGAAACGTTTGACAGCACTGAACATGTTGCATCATCTTGCAAACTCTCATCAAATAGTCCATGGTTTTCATCAACGTGATCTGACTGAATGTCTGCTTCATCTACTATTTCGTGGTCTGGTAATGTAAGGGTTAATATCATTCTCATCGATCAACGTAACATGATTCATATTATGTCTTCTTGAACACAAATTTCGAAGGAAAGCTATTGTGTGAAAAAAGTTTTCGTTATATGCGGCTTCTTATCAAGATTTCGTCAATCTTTCTGCACATTATAACAAAAGATATTTCATCAAATTTTGAAAATGAATTAATGTGAAAAAAAGGTTTATTGTTCACTTCAAAACTCTTAATTTCTATCAAGAACAAAGTATTCACCAGTGAACAGAAGTCAGGAAATGGCTGGAAATTTATTGTATTGACCATACTGTCTGTCCTGCACTCAGAGTCTTCAAACCGATGGATATTTCATTCAATTTGTCCAGAAAATAAGATTTTTAAGTGTTCCTTTTGCAAATGTTCTTTTGAGCGAATTCATTTTCAAATTACATATTCTAGTAAATTTATACTCCATTATTATTTGAGCCTTAAATGCTTAATCGTTTATTTACTGTAATCAACTTTCACCTTAACTTTCAGAACACTACTGAAATCCACTTCGGTTCTGGTACTTGTGTTTGGTTTATACCATCTAATCCTAATACCATTAAATCTGATGCAAATAACTTCACAGTCACATGGACCTGGATTACTTGAAATTATTAAACTTTATTACGAACAAATAATGGAAGCTTTTCAAGTGAGTGGTTATTTTTCATGATTTTTGGGAAACATTATGCTCTGCGGACTGAAATTCCTTTCTTGTTGTCAGTAGTGATTGTGGAAATATTCCTCAAGTGGAATTCAATAGTGACTGGTTATAGAATGGTAATAAATTCTTTCTACGCCATGTAGGGTCAATAAACGATATTGCTTAAAGAAATTGAGCTCGGATGGTTTGAGGTGTTCCTCTTCCTATAATTCCCACGATTCTGACTTCATGCAATTAATTATTAGTAGCGGATAGTGCTCGCGTTGGAACATACGATTTGTAATCAGTTCTTTTTGAAGCTGTTACCGGAACCTTACAGCCTGTGTTATGGTTATCACTTGAGCTCGGACTTAGAATTCACTACCTAAAATGACACAAAAATTCTTCCTTAGCCACTGAGTTAAAGCTGCCAATCCACGTGCTAAGGATACATTGTTATACTATGGTTCATTTGTATCTGTTGGTGGTATTCTATCCGCTCTGTAACATCGTTGATTTGACAAATTTCCGTGGTATATTAGAGCTGTTACATTTGTCTAGTAATCAGTCATCAATGAGCCCGATCGGTAGCTGCTACCTTGACGTAGTAGTTGGACTTGCATACCACAGTGATCCAACGAGCCATGCTGGTGGAACACTTGTTCTCTCGAAGTCCTACCATACCAGAAAGGTCTGTTGGATAGTGGTTAGATGAGAAACAGTTGCAGTTGTGGTATAAATTACTACAATATGACGGAGATCTTAAGGTGAAGTCGTACTGCAGCTAGCTGGATGAGGTGTGATAGCAGTAAGGTGTTTCCCTTGGATGACCAGCAGTGCCACGCTGATGCTGCCTTCTCAGTGAAAAGGGGGGGGGGTTGGAAAAGGTCGGCCCCAAAAATGACATACCCCACCATATTCTATAGTCTACTGGGCCGACGGTGTTGGTTCACCTGTAGTTTCTTTTTGACCATCCGGCCCGAAAACAACAAAAGTTCAAAACAATCATACACAAAAGGCTGCATGTGACAGGCCTCAAGCAGATGTCCTACGCGCTCTGCACTCACGTGGACGGCTTTCAGGTACCTTGAGAAGAAATAGCCTTTCACGATGTGGGTAGCCGGGAACTGTCAACCGCCCTTACAACTCTGTCAGCACTCACTTTTCTTCAGACTGCTATCCACTTCCCCCATCATTACCTTCTAGTCTTCGTTCACGTCTCTCAACTAACGATACCACATCATCTTTAGTTCCCCTAACTCTGCAGCCTTCGACAACGATCCAAGATCCACAGAACAGCATCTCTGGTCTCCTCAAACTAGGCTCCAAATCGCTTGTCTAGGCCTTCAGTGCCCGCACACTCCATCAAGTTGATCAACAGGCTTCACTGACCTGGACTGTAGCAACTAGGGCCATAAATGTGTGCTGTTTTTGTGAGACCCATGACCCAAGTGCGGTTATTTACCTAACTTCTCCCAGCCAACCTAGTGTGTCCGCAAACTTCATCTCTCACTTTTCTGGAGATTCGATAGCAAGCTCTGACAGTCTAGCAGGTATAGGGCAGGAAGCTCACTACTAGACTGGATCCCAGTTGATAGTCGCCTCTGCGCTATGAGGCTGAACGGCACAGTGAGAACTTAAAGGAATAGTGAGACTCGCCGTTGTCTCTTTGTAATCTCTGCTTACGCATCCACTGGCTGCAATTCGGGTGAAGTGAAGGAGGAGTTCTCCCGAAAACTGTCTGGTCTCCTTTCAAAAGCCGAACGTTCAGACGTGGTGGTTGTTGCAGGTGATTTCAATGCACAAGTGGATAGACTGAGTGGGTCAAAAAGGCACTTAGATGACACTTTTGGGAGCCTGGCTGAACGAACAGATAACGGTCATTACCTACCAATACTGTGATCAGTTAACCTCTTATTTTTAGTTGGCATAAATTTTAGCAATAAAGAAAGACACTGTCTGACGTGACGTCCACGGAGCTCAAATCGGCGATGGACACAGATAGACCACATTGCTACCAGTCATCTCTAGAAAGGATAGGTGGAAGGTCGCCTCTTCTTCTAGAGTCCGTGTTTAGATAACGACAACGCGTTGGTCCGAGTGCGTTTGTGCCTCCGTCCCAATGGACGTAGGACAAACTTGGGAACAATACCATTACCAGTGCAGCTTGACAACAAAAACTGGGGTGAAAGGTCAACAACAGTTAGTGAAACTATGGCGGAGAAGGATGGATCTGAGATCCACTGAAAGAGAATACAACTGGAACCTTGGGCAGCACACTTCGGAGAACACTTTAACTGGTCTCCAGTCACCAGTGCGTTGCCCACTATCCAGTTAGATCCTGAATAAAACATAGAACTAAACCCCCCAACACTTGCAGAAGTCGAGAAAGCTGTAGGTAACCTGAAACGGAGAAGGGCAGCAGGACCAGACAGATTAACTCCAGATGTATACAAGAATGGTGGTAAGGTGCCTTTATTCAGGTTATCAGAAGTGTCAACCAGTATATGGGACTCAAATATGATCCCCTCGAACCGGTCAAAACCACTGATTATCCCAGTCTTCAAGAAAGATGAGAAGTCCTCTTGTGATAACCACAGAGGAATCAGCCTGACGAACATATTATCCAAAATCCTAGGTTCTATAATTCTCCGAAGCCTGAGTGGAGCTCGGGAACACCAAGCCCGAGAAAACCAGGCAGGCAGGCTTTAGACCTGGCCGTGGGTGTATCGACCAAATATTCACACTGCAACAGCTCCTGGAACATAAGCATGCTTACAGATGCCCGACAATAGCTGTACTTCTCGACCTGAAGGCGGCATTTGCCTCCGTTGGTCGAGAATTCTTATGGCAATGTCTGTCACTGAAAGGCGTGCCTAGTAAGTACATCACCTTATTGAAAGCTCTCTAGTGGAACACTTGTGGGCATATTGGAGCCTATGGCGAGTTGTCCAGGGAGCTATACTCATCAAGTGGTGTCCGTCAAGGATGCCCACTATCCCCATTCTTATTTAATTTTAACATAAGTAGTCTTATTGAGGTCTCCCTTTCATCACCTGATTACACAGACGTTGACTTTGTCTCAGGAGAATTTTCGTTAGACCTGGAATATCCAGATTACATAGTCCTGTTAGGTGAAGACACTGATAAGATGCAGAGTCTTCTGAACACGTCAGGTGTAGAGTTTTAAGGGGAAGAGATAAGTCGGTTGACGAGGTTGTGAACTTTCATCGACTTTGATGGTTAGGACACGTGTTACTATGCCTAGTCGCCCGCCAATTACCCCATTATACAATGTTGGTCGAGGTAGGTCTAGGTTGGAAAAAGGCCCGAGGCGGCCAGGCTAAAACATGGCATGGCATCGGTGTATGAAATGTTTGACTGTTGGTTTGAGCTATGTAGGGCGATGTAGACCATGTGGTTGGTGTCCGCGAGACAAGAGAAACTAGTGGTTAGAGACTGATTCCAGGTGATATGGTTGAGAAGTGGTGTCAGTGGCGCAGATGTATACACACATTATCCTCATCTTAACGACGCTATACCCAATCTCACCATTTTGTCATTCTTCCTTTCTCTCTTTTTGTACTTTACATCTCTTTTGACTGAATTTTCTTATCTTCATCTTGCACTTCACTGCCTTTTTTACTAGATGTGGTTATATGAGGTGTGGCAAGTTGGACCGTTACGCAGTAATGCCTGGTCCTGTATTTGTTTGGATGGATGGATGGGGACTAAATTATAAGTGTCTGATATACGTGTACAAAAATACCCGGCTACAATGCTGTTTATTGACATCTGACTGAAATATGCATTAGAACCAAGATGACCATCTTATCTTCCCAGTACGGAAGAAGCCGACAGTGTCACGACTGGATTTAAACGCAGGATACAATAGGTTGACTACTTGCAATGAAGAATGACTTTTATAATTTTATTTTCATAAGCAAGGAGTCTTAAGTTAGAATGAAATAAGTAACTAACCCCTATTGATTTTCAGTAGTTTATTAAATTATAAACAGTTTATGATTGAAGCTGTTTTAAGATAAATACATTCTTCTCTGTATGTTTATACAATAATGAATTTGCTATCTACGCACCATAACGTTCGGTGAAAAACTATGAAACTAGGCTAAAAGTGGGTGAAAATATAAAGTTAGTTAAATCAGAGTAAAGAACCAGTGAAGGTTATGCAATGAAAAAAACAGAAGAAGGAAATTAGGGAAAAGATAAATGTAGTCGGTTTTGGTAGAGATTTTTATTTTCTCACATGTATGAAGCAGTTATAGGAGGAGCCAAACGTTGGAAGCAAAACTAACTGAAAACTTTTTGACAAGAAAAACAGATTAATCCTATTATTAGTTCAGATGAAAAAGATATACAACTCATATAACGTCACTGAATGATAAATACAACCTTAAGTTTCTATTTGTCAAGGATTATATTTCATATATTTATATGTCATGTGATTCCCTTAGTTTACTTTCGACCATATTCCGTTCGTATTGCAGCGATAATTTGACTGACATACCTAAGCGATTGTCAAGTTGCAGTCTGTGTTCTTGGTCATTAATCTTCAATCATATGCGAATAGCCGGAAGAAGTTGAGTGATGTAAACTGTATGGTGTTTATTATCTGGCAGTGGACAATTTACATACAGGCAAAGTTAGATTCACTTCTAATTACAGTATATGACATATATCCGAGATTTCGATGTTCGTAAAATTTTCTTGACTGCCTATAGCCTGTTCAGTACTTTAAATTATCCTTATCGTGAAACAGAATTGTAAGCGGCAATTCAAAATATTCTACTAGAAAGAGAGGTTTTCAGTCGTTAACTCGACCTCCGTATGTGGATTTTTAAATGCACAGTCGTGTTATACAAACTGCGTACTTCCATGTTTTGTTACTGTTCAATGAACAGTAAAGGAAACAAGATGGAAGGTAAATTCTTTATAAATATCATATTCTTCATTGCTGTTTCTCATAAGATTCATTTTATTTCTTTTTAATTTCAGGGTTCATTTGTTGCCATCCTTCTCTGTTTTATTAATAAAGAGGTAGATTATAATATTGAAGTTTCATGTTCAAATTTACATCGAATGTACTTGTACAGTATATATTTTTGTTGAAATTAGTATAAAATATTAGATATCATTGAGATACACTATATGACATGCACCTAAATTTTCACGATTACTAAAAACCATTTTTAAGTAATAAATCTGTGTATACTATGATTCTACTTGAGAAAATGTGCTCAACATTCGAGATACACAATATAAACTCATTACAAAATTCATTCAACAGTAATGAAGTAAATTTTGTCTATCCGTAAAATATTCATTCAACATTACGAAGTATTTTGTAACACAAACCAGTTGTTAAAAATACAATACAGAATTTATTCGTTGTCATATTTCCATGTCAGCGATAAACAAGACGAATTCTGTAGGATTTAGATCATCAGAAAGAATATATCAAATTTAGTTTCATCTTTCTACTGGAAAAAATATCTGTAATTACAGTAATCACTGCAGTATGATCACGATATACCTTTTCGTAGATTGGTCTGAAATGGATAAGTAACACTGGGAACAGAGCTGTAAAATGAGGAGTTAGAGGATGTCACTGAAGCAATAATCAATAATGATTGTCAAATCGTAGTTATGACTTGTCTGTGATGGAGTGTAGAAGTTCTAAGTTGTAAGTAGAATAGAAGGAGTGAACTTATATCAATTAGTTGAATACTGAAAGCCAAAGGCAGCTATAAATTACCAAACTGAAGTTAACTGTATGTAGGGTAATTAAGTCTTGACTGAAATATAGTGATTACATCACTGTCGTTAAACAGGATATGAAAGAAGCAGAGTTTAATCTCATATTAGATTTGTTTATTTGATTCGTAACACACAGTGATACAGTATTATCTACTGGATGACCATGTCAATGTAATCACACAATTCTCGACATCTGATTTTATAGTCCAATAACTTCAAATGTTTTGCTTTTATTGGTAGTAAGTCTTTTATATCTTTGGTGTAGGTGTTGCTTCATTTGTATTACATGTGTTGGGTATTGATTCGATCACCGAAGACTCATTAATCAATCTCTCTCTTTCCACTTAATTATATTGGATTTCTGTATGGTGGTTTTATCCAACTCACCCTATTGCGTGGTTGTGTTAATACACTGATATAGTCACCATTTTTTCTACATTATTCGGCTTATTGAGATCTGTTAATCAATATATTTAGCTAAATTCCCATGTTCCGCCATTCTAACTGACCCCGACCGTCTACTTTCACCTATGTACTTGACCTTGCAGTCATTACGTGGAATTCGGTAGATTGTATTATTTTGTTTAATTGAATCAGTCGGCTCCTTAAGTCGATGAAGCTTATCTCTGAGTGGGTTTGTAGGTTTATATGCCACCCTAATTCCACTTTTGCTGAGAATCCTATGTAAAGTTTATGATATTCCTTCCTTATAAAACAACAAAATAGAGGCAGTGAACTCCTTTCTAGTTGTGCTGCTATTGTTCGTACTCACATAACCGTGATTATTTCACTTCTTACGTGTTCGTATGAATTTCTTAATAAAATGTAGAGGATATTTATTAACTACTAGCGCTTCAATTCCTTGTTTAGATCCATGCACTGACTAGTCAGTTTTCTAGCCCTATTATCTAGACATTTGACAAAACAGTGTTAACTGACATTGAATGAGACGACGTAAAGTCCAGATACCTGTTGTAATGCGTCGGCTTTCTGCAGACGGTGGTATTCAAACCACCTTGAAATGTCTGTGGATTTTTCTTATCTTAAAAGCTTTTGAGACATTGCTATGATAACTAGCATCTATGAATTGTCCAATAATCATATTGTTCATAGTGCCAGTTGTCTTCAAATATAAATTCTGTTGCGATGTTCAGATGTATGAGTAAAGTAAGTTTCATAGGAATAATGGTAGAGGTTTTGATAAGCACGTCATTGACTGCAGAATTCGCGATACTAATGAACCACTTCACACTTTATTCTCTTTTTACTTCGTGACACAAAGTGACTTCTACTAATCTCATCAAGATTTTGTTTCAGTTTCAAATAACGGTACCTAACCAATCAGTCACATCTGAATACACATGACATGCAATCATATACCACAGAACCCAAGGCAAATAGTGATCGCATGTGAAAGAAGTATATATATACATATATATTCCAGCTTGAGAAAATGGATTTTAAAAACCTTTCATTTTCACTGCGCTACTTTGTCTTCTATAGCCAGTCGTTTTTTGTATGGGCGATGCATACGAATGCCTAATTCTTAGTTCATCGCTAGATCAGACACAGAGGTTATTCGCAGCCTTAACCGTTTAATCTACCACGACCTAACTGGAGCACATTTCATATGTTCATGAACATAACATGCAAAAGAATCTACTTTAATCCGTAATCAGAACGTCGACCACCACAACAACAATATCACCCGGGCGCAAAGACAAGAATAGATAGACCAATGAGAGAGGTTTTACTATCTTAAAGACGGTCAAAACACTTAACAGTGATGCTGAATATTTACATTTCTAAAAAACGTTAAAAAACACTAACTCCATCGATAAGTTGAAAGAGTTAATAAGCAATGAGAGTCTAGCCTTCAAAAGCGGTGAGAACAACAAAAACTCACAATGGTATCAGTAGGGTAAGAAAATAGCAATAGTGAACTTACTTTAAGCTTATAGACAAATATCGGGTAAAAGTTAAGCAGAATTAGGGGTATATAGCAGCAAAATTATAATTAATAGTGATAACAGTAGCTTTATTCCAAACAAAATGTATGATACGGTATGAAATTTTCAACATCGAATATTCGAACAAATCCGCTTTCCTTAAAATATTTTTCAAAGATACAATTATTACGTCTGCATAGCATTAATCACAACAGTAGTGAAGGCATAGATGTGAAACAGGCAGCTAATGTTACACAAGCATTTGCTCTTGACTCAGAAATTAACGCAAAATCGAGTGTGATTTTGATGGTGGTAGCTCAGTCAGCCAGCACAGAAATTCATAATACCATACAGGTATCTTAGGAATAATAATGTGGTATGTTTTTGAACACTTATGAATCCATTTCCAACCGTCGGAACTTTTTTCCTTCATTTTATTCTTAGCTTGAAGAAAGGAGGTTCGAAAACATTTTAAAAAAGTATGAGAGTACATGATGCGTTTAGAAGACATTTGAGAGATTAAAGCAAATTGAAGAATTTAATGGAATAAAATAGGTGGAAAGATTTTTGGTAGCCGAAAATTTAAGCAGACCGCCTTCCTTTAATTGTTTGCAGAGATAAACGTTGAAACTACTGATGATCCAAAGTGTTCGGATATTTTTGAATGAAAACTTGTAAATTCTAAACTTTTTTTTAACCTTTATGGACGTCAACCATTTATATATTACATTTCAGGTTATCAGTGAATTTAAACGTCTCTATCGGCGGAAACAGTACTTACACAGTAATACAGACAATCGACGTCAAAGTGCTTGGTTCAATAATCAAGAAACACCAAATGAACCTGGTGAAGAACAAATGGAATATAAACCGGCAATAAGAATATCTAGAGAGTCATCAATAATTCCAAAAAGGAAACAGCACCCATTAACTATTCGATTTGCTAGATTAGTAGGATGTCAGTCAAAAGATAAATTCCAAAGACCAACTGGTCCAAGACGACCATCACCACTTTGCCGAAATGATATCATAATGTGTGAATAATCTTACATCAGATTATCGTATCTATGTAATTTCAAACCAATGTCCTGCGTCAGTTGCTTTATTTTGGATATATATTCCAGGCTAGTATCAGTATAGTATGTTTTTTCCCCAGTTTAGTTCGACCGGGCATATATCATTTACCATGTGACTTCTGATTAGAAGATGCAAAGAATACTTCAAGTGACATGGAAGAATATAGGTTTGATGTATCAAATCACATACCGCTCTCATATTGAACATCGATTCTGATAAATAATAAAAATGCAGTTGATGGGAAGTAGAGGCAAATCATTGCAGTGACATTTTATAGCATTTCTCAATGAATACAGGCTTATTAATGAGTGAATTCATTTCTTTTCATTCTACTGCTTTGTTTATTATGAAAACTTAATTCTTCCAGTAACTTTGACCTGTAATATTCTGAGTTAATCAGATACTGAAAGTGAGATTATACTTATTTTTGACTGAATAAAATAATTCAACAATAAGGAATGACTTCTTCATTGATATAAGCCTCATCGTTGTCATGCTGTACTGACTAGGCTACGAAGTCCGACTGATGACCTCATTTTGAATTCATTTCAATCATTTTGAAATAGTGAAGAATATTTGTAGCTCAGATGGATGATCTTGGTTGTATTGTGTTCTCTGAGCTGGGTTAGTGCTGATGATGTCGTATAGAAGGACGATGAAAGCTTCGCGATTAAACAACCTAGCTCAGAGAACACAATAAAGCCAAGATCATTTCAATCACGATGCCTTTCGTCTGACTACCAAGTGAATAGGGGACTCGTTACTATCGCTTGATCGTATTAACACTAGTTGTCTAGTCATGACTTCTCATCCCATTTCAGTTAGTAGGGCATCAACTGGGAAACCCGGTAGTCACTGGTTCGAATACTGCCGTGGTCCGAATTTCCATTTCACATTCTGTCATCACCCAGTATGAATAATAAAATTGTCCGGCTAATATGAGATTAAGTCAGATGATCACCTCCTCTAATTCAATGAAATTTGGATTGAGATGAGAAGTTCTGACTAGGCAGCTAGTGTGAATACGATCAAGAGGTAGTAATGCGTCACGAATCCACTTGGTAGTCGGCCAAAACCCATGGTAATTGAAATGAGATGAAAGTTTGATCAGCAGTCAGACTTCGCCCGGTTTACTGGTTCACTAGTTACTAGATGGTCCTAAGCACGGGTAAACAGGGAAGGATGGGCATACGGCTAGCAACCCTACCCCGTAAAACCAATCCAACCGCTAAAAACTTCAAAGCACAAATAAAATATAAAAAATAAAAATAAACTTATTCCTCGCTGCAATCGCAGAGGCAAAATGCTGCTGGTTGGCGAAAGACTTCGGAAAGCCAATCGGCCGATGTGTCTTCGCCTCTCTCGATGAAAGTGAGAGCAAGCACAGGGACATGGAATGTCCTCACTATATCTGAAGCTGGCTGGCAAGGCTGCACAGATTGTCAACGAGATGAGGAGGTATAGCACTGAAGTGTTATGAATCTGTAAAAGCAGATGGAATGGGAGTGAACTCTCCAAACTGTGAACTCGAGAGTCGATAATCTACTCCGATATTGTCACACACGGCAATCACGAGCACACTTTGTTTTGGAGTGGCTATCACGATGTTTCCAACAGTATCGAAGAATCTCATAGAGCGGGAACCAATCTCCTCATGCAGGATCATGACAGCAAGGTTGAACTCAAAAGGAAGGAAAGTCACAATCGTACAATGCTACGCACCTACAAATAATGCAGATGAGGAAGAGAAGAAGGAGTAATTCTACAGACAACTGCAATCAGTAATGGACAAAACTCCGGACTGCGATATTGATATCACAATTCCAATGGGGGGGTGACATGAATGCTTAACTGGGAGTAGACCACACAGGAAGAGAACTAACCATGGGTGGAGAAGTGCTCAGTGAAATGAATGAGAAGGGAGAGTTGTTTGCAGAATTCTGTGAGTTCAACGATTTAGTGACTTGAGGCAGTATGTGCAAACACAGGGACATTCATAAAGCGACATAGATTTGATTTCTTCAGACACCAGGACACACTGCACTAAGAACCAGATCGACTTCATCTCATTGTGAAGGAAGGGGAGGTGTAGCTTACTGGACACAAGATCAAGAAACGGAGCAGGTGTCGGTCCACACTACTCACTATCTAGTGCAAGGAACCTTCCAAATTCAGTTGAAAGCCTTCAAGGAAGCTGCTGAGAGACCACAGTTAACGTTCAACACCCAGAACAGGAACTGAACTGAAAGACGGAACCTTAAAGGACATCTTCACGTCAGTCATCAGGACAAAATGAGAGACACGAAGCAACATCCCTGAAGGATTGGGCGTGGAAGAACACTGGAACTCCTTGAAAGGGACGTGGAAGGAAATCTGCGTGACCGTACTAGGAAGGAAGAAGAAACAGGACATGGAATGGATCTCGATGAACACACGGAATGTCATACATTTAGCTCCTTTGAAAAATTTGAACATTTTCAGAATAAAATGGCTTCATTTTATTTCATGGCCTTTCATCAGCTGCAAACAGCCTACAACTGAAATGAGTATCGGTGGTAATAATAACATAACACACTAAACACGCGAAAATAAATGAAGATTTGAAATTCGGGATTAATAATGTGGTAGTAAGTCAAGAAAACGCAGCATTAATAGTCACATATCTTAATTAAAGTCTATGGCTATTTATATCTGATGAGATGGAAACTTCTGGAGCTGTGGAATAGGGGGACAACAAACGAAAACCAGTGTTAAAGATGGGACTGTTTAAGGTCTAATTACGTGAAAAAATTGAAAATCGTAAAGTGATCAATAGTCAGTAAGTTACTGGTAAAGAAATGATGCAAAAGGTTACATACATTTACCAAGGCAAAGAAAGGTTAATTACAGTCTTCTTCTGAGTATGTAGGTTAGGTTGAAAATGTTTAATAGCAAGAGCTCCTTTAAACCGTAATAAACATAGTGTTCTTTGTTGGTTGACTATCGAGAAAGATTGAGAAACATCTATTTGATGTCCTAATTGCATCAGATGCCTGGCAATTGCGCTTCTAAAGACCTTTCTACCATTCAGACACAGATTTCTCGGAATATGTTCATAAAATTGGGGAGATGCCCATCTTTCAGTCCGTCTCATATACTCGCTTCCACAAGCACAGGTGAATTGAGATACGCACTTGGAGTTGACGTGAGCTGGGTATTTGTCTACTTTCGATTGTGTTATTAAGCATAATGTATTGCAAATTGAGATCGGTCTGGCAGCAGCGAAGCTCCTCCTCAGTGTGGCTTTTATTCTTCTGTCTATTCTTTTAGGTCTCATCATCCTTGGATGCTAGGTGAAATAAAACAGGCTTCTTCTCAACAGTTGGATGTTTTAGTCTCTCAACAGATTCTTTTGCATGTTTCATGATGAATTTCTCCGGATATCCATTCCCTATAAGAGTCTTCTCAGTTGTCCTGAATTCTTCTTCTTGTTTATCATTAGAGCACAGCCTTTTAATTCTAGTGAATAGCGTCCTGACTAAACCATGCTTATAGCTGACAGGACAGAAGCTGTTGTAGTGAAGGTACTGACCAACCCACATGTCTTTTCTGTGGATTGTTTTCTCAACTGCACCTTCACATCTCCGTCTTATACTTAGATCCAAAAAATTCAATCTGTTGTCATTTTCATATTGCGTTGTAAAATTAATATTTGGGTGAGCTTGACTCAAGGTGTCTCACAATCTTGACGAATGATTCATATCGTCACGAACGATGAAAGTATCGCCGACATACCTGCAGTAATGTGTTGTTTCCTTGATCACAGCTTTCAGATTTGTTCGTTCGAGATGAGCCATGAAATATCCAATCTATCCAGATCTTCAAAGAATTGGAATGTATCCCTCAAGCTGTGATTTGTGAGCGCTTTTCTGGTGGGTTCCAATTTCGTTGCTAACCAACGAGCCAGTTTGTGGCAGGGTGAAGTTATCATGGACAAAATGGGTCTCGAATGAGGAGTGAACTTATGGATTTTTTGAAGGCCGTACATGAAAGGCAGTCGTGAACCTCTTGGGTTAAGTTCAGTCAGTTGCTTCTTCAAAATTTCTCTGGGGTGCTCGGTTACTTTATTTTCAGTAGAAACTGTCGCATCCTTTTGGGATACACGGAAGCTGATAGAAGAGAGGAAGATGCTGAAGCAAAGATGAACCACTGGAGTGGAATGCAGGGATGAACAATGAATAGAGGAATTGAATACAGCCTACAAAACATTGGACAAAGAAGTGAAAAAGAATGCTCACAAAGACAAAAGACACTTCTACGAAACACTGGCAAGTGAAACAGAACAGGCTGCCCTAGTGGAAGAGACCTGACAACACTATATCAGATAACTAGGTTACCATCTGGAAGGGAAGATATCAATGCAGATGAAACCAGTGAAAGATAGTAAAGGGAATCTAGTTACCGATGAGGAGAAACAATGGGCTGACCACTTCAAAAAGCTCTTGAATCGATCACCAGCACCACCATCACCACCTGCGACATGTCCGGAATTACCACCAGCAGCTGCAGAACTACCAGTGAACACAAGCCCTCCAACGAAAGTCGAAGTCCTGAGCTCCATAAAGCTACTGAAGTTCGGGAAAGCAGCAGGACCAGATGCGATTCCGCCAGAGGCACTGAGAGCAGACGCAAAGACAACAGTGAAGATACTCACACCACTATTGCAGAAGGTTTGGGAGGAAGGAAAGGTACACACCGATTGGAAGAAGGGGTGCCTTGTCAAACTCCAGAAGAAGAGCGACCTAAGTGTTTGCAAGAACTGGAACGGAATCATACTCCTGTCCACTCGGAGCAAGCAAAAGATCAAGCCGCATCATCCTGGAGAGACTAAAAATATGCTGGATTCAAAACTTCACCCGGAACAGGCTGGTTGGCTGGATTCAGGAAGTACAAATCATTTGCGGATCAAAATGCAACGCTACACCACACATCATCATGGGACAGAGTAAAGAATGGCAGTCAACTCAACCTCAACTTCATCTATTTTGGAAAAGCCTTCGACAACGTCTACTGAGAAGTAATTTGGCAGGCTGGTGCTTCAACAATACGCTTTCAGTGCCACAAACCTTTATCGACCTTATTCAACAGCTATATGCTATGCTATATGACGAGGTTACATGTCGAGTTATTCACGATGCAGAGCTCAGCGATGCCTTTGGAGTGGAAGTGAAGACAAGAGTGAGACAATGTTGCAGCCTACTATCACTGATGATCTTCCTGATTGTGGTCCACTGGAGTGGATGGACTGGATCATGCAAGAAGCTATGAGGAGTAAGAAGATGGGCATACGCTGACTGGATCGCTGAAAATACCCTAGGGGAAGATTCAGATTTCGCCGATGATTTATTTTTAATGCCGCACAAACTTTGAGATCTACACGCAAAACTAACAGTTTGGGCGAAGAGAAGAAACAACG